CTGCCCAGCGGGGGCTCAGGGAAAGAGTCCCAGGCTAAGGGGGGACGGTCTGTGAGAGACACGAGCAGAGTATAATCACGAGAACTGGCACAAGTCATGCAACAAAACGAGGAGAGAGAGAGAGACATGATTAGTGGAGAGAGAGAAAAAGAGAGAAAATGTGAACAACACAGAAAAGAACACCCATGCCTGGCCCTCAGAGCGGGTTCGCTTCCCCGGGGGCCTCGAGGACCCCACTCCGGACCCCCGCTGCCCACCCTGGCCCTCTATCCCGAACAACTCAGTCAGCCCGTGTGGAGGGCCCCTGCCCACACCCCGTCTGTCCCCTCTGCCCGCTCCTGGCACCCTCCCTGCCCCGCGGACTACCGCCACTCCCAGCAGCCACTGCGGCCCGGCCGGGGAAGGTGGAAGGCCAGGGCGGGGGGCGCTGCACGCTCAGCTGCTCGGGGGAGAATCTCCCTTCAGAGACGACCCAGAGGCTGCAGGGGTGGCTCCTGGGGAGCCCAGATAGCACTTTCCCTGGGACTTCACGGCTGCACTCCATGCCAGTGGGCAAAAAGTGGGTCTGGCCCCCAACCCTCCCCCGTGCCAGCACCCTGCTCACCTATGGTGGGACCCCACAGCCCTGGACGCAGCCACAGAGGACCAACCCATATCACAGGAGCAGAGATGGACAAGACACACACGTGGATGGACAGGGCAGGACAGAGGGAGCAGTCCTAGCTGTCCAGAGCAGGTGGTCTAGGGCCCCCACTCTAGATGGGGGAGGGAGACCCCTTCTGGGAGATAAGCAGCTTCTCCTGGGCCATCAGCCCCAGGCAGCCCCTGACTGTGGGGTGCCCTCCCGGCATCCCCCTAGGAGGCTCTGCAACCCCCACAGGACAAATCCCCCAACCATGGAGGCCATGCCAGCCATACAGAGGAGGAGACCAGATCATCCCTCACAGACACACAGACCTGAGGCTTCAGGACAGACCAAGAGGTGGAGGTGAGGGACAGTGTTGCTGATACGACTGGGAGGCCTTGCTTGAGTCCTGGGGGTCTGGCCCTGAGGGGTGAGGGGTAGGGGATACCCCAGAGCCTAGCAGGCTACATCTAGCCTTAAACCAGATTCTAAGAGTGGAATTGGAAAACCCAGATTTTGTTGAGGCCACCTGACTGTCCTTGGGGGTGGAGCAAGGCTGGAAAGGCCTTGGGGGCTGTGTCTTACCTCTCCCAATTCTCGTAGGGCCAGATCTCCACACGCATTTGCCTTCCTCACCTCTGGCTTCCCCCCCCCACTCAATCACAGACACCCCCGTACCCATCTAGGTATGTGGCTGCAAGCAGAGAAGGAAGCAAATGGGAAGGGACTCCGTAATGCAGAAATGGAGGTCCCTTAAGGACCACACCCCTTGGTGATAGATCATCTGGGTCTCACACACCAGCTTTTGGAAGGAGAAGTGTTCTGGTGAGAGAGGAGGCTCAGAGGGGTCTGGGAGCCAAGGTGGACAGGTCTGGATGGCAGGACAGCACCTCCAGGGCAAGTATTTGGGAAGGGAGGGAGGGCAGAGTGTGGGGTTGGGGAGAGAAAGGCAGGAAGGTCTGGGCATCTGGGCTCCTGAGGGCATGCTTGGGAGGCCCCCAAATCCCACCTCAGCCAGAGACTGCCCGGGCTCAGAGCTCTCTGGGTCCCTGAGATCTGGGGCCAGGGGCCAGGAGGCTCCTGGGAGCAGGGCTGCCATGGCTGGGGGGCCCAGGGCGTCCACCAGGAAGTGAAAGGGCTTCGCAGGTCTGCTGCAGCACGGGAAGAGGGCTGTGTGTCTGGGACCAGCTGGTGTGCACGTCAGAACACACACGTCTGTACTTGTCATACGTGCACACAGGCGTGTGCGTGTGTGTGTGCGTGTGTGTGTGTGCCTGCGTGCACGCTTGCACGTGTGTGCATGTGTGTGCCCTCAGCACATGGAGAATACTGGCATTTTCTAGGAGTACAGAGGAATCTGCGCCTGACTGGAGTGAACTGGGGATCCTTGGTAGGCCGGCCTGGGCACCCAAGCTCAGGGCACTGATCCTGATAGATCCACTGTTGGGAGAGGATGTAACAGAAGGACCAAGTTGCGCCATGGTGATGTCACCCAGCTTTGAGCTCTTCCTGCTGGGACCTGGAGTGATGGTGGGGGCTAGGCCAGCCCAGACCCTCCCCAGAGCCCCAGGAACTTTCCGTGCCATGATGGTGGCTCCTGAGGTCAAACGTCCACCTAATCCAAAGCAGAGAGGTGGGGCGGGAGCTTTCCACTGGCATGTGCTTCCCCTGCTGAACAGGAGCCATGTCTTGGCCAAGGGGCCCGGCCCTACTTCAGGCCCCCTGTTCCAGCCTCGGAGACCCTTGCCCACCCCCTGACCCAGCCCGGGACACTAACCACACTCTTCTTGAGTGCCTCCAGGAATCCAGGAAGTGGGGAGGGGTATGGGACCAGATGAAGGGGCAGGTGAGCTCCCACGGGCAGAGAAGTGGGTCTCGGGGGTACTGTGCTAGGCAGCACTGGTGTGGAATGAAGCCAGATCGGGAGCAGCTTGAAGATGCACAGGATGCGCATGGGGCGGTGGGCGCATCAACAGGAAAGACTCACTCATCTCCTGGGTGAGGCCACCCAAACTGAGGGAAACTTGCTCATCCAGGGCTGACCTGGGCACGGGGACGTCCTCCATAGACTAAATGCTACCTGTCACTCACTCAGCCTCCCTCACCCCAGCACCTCTTAGCTCAGTGTTGCCATTCTTCTCTGGGTCATTCATTTCCTTGAAATCCCTGTGTCCACAGAATAAGTCGATGGTATTCCATGGGTAGAGGTAGACTATGGGCTTTATATCTTCGGACCAGAGCCCCGTGATCAACTTTATGTGCTATGTGCAGGTTCTCATAAAACTGAGATAGTCCCATAACAAACCACTAGCCATGGAATATGAGAATATATCCCACAGTGACTAGTATTGTTTCGTGGCCCCCCCTCCCCCCCGGCCCCCCACTGAATTCACGGGAATGTGGCTGCACACTGGTCTGGATGTCGCGTATTGCTGCTGCAGTCCCTACTGCCGGACGTGGGGAGGACCCTCGGTGGGAGGCGGCTACTCGTCTGTAGTGCTTTCGTCTAAGCTGCCCGGGGTGGTGGCCCCCTCTCGTCCTTTGTTCACCAGCCACTTCCATCAGAAGGCCACCGGAACCTCCCACTCGACCATCAACCCAAACAGACAACGTGAAAGCTAGAGTCGCTCCAACAGGTTCCTAAAGATAAATGCTAAACTCGAGAGTGGTGGTAGAAGATGAGTTGGTTCGGCATGCTATGGGGTAAGTAAGCTTGTGACGGAGGGCTACGGGCGTCTCCTAGGATGCACCCGGAGCTAGGCAGCCGGAATCAGAGCAGGAGTTCTACTCAGCTGTGGAGACAGGCTCTGTTGGGACTGAGAATCCTTGCTACTGCCTTTGCAGGGACGCTCCTGCCCGATCCCAGGCACCAGCTGTGCTCTTTGCACAGCCTGAAGGGAGCCAAGGAAAGACCACATCGGAAGCTGTCTGGCATTTCCGAATGACACCCACCCCTGCCCTGCCCCGGCCCCGGGACAGTGGCCTGAGTCAGAGACTCACGCTTGCCTCCTGCCCACCGAGCAGCGGCCCCCTGGGCTCCTGCTAAGAGAGTCCTCAGCAACCTCGCGGGCCATGTCGTCTCTTCCGAACCTCACGAGACCAGCGCGCCAACCTCCTTACCCAGGGCCACCAGTGAGGTTCCTCCAGCAGGCTCTCGCCTTGTGAATCTGGCTGCCCAGCATCTCCCCGGGCCCCCGGGCTCCACACCTTGAGACTGAGTGCGGGGTCCCGGGTTGCCCACGGAACTAAGGAAGCAGTCTGACTGAATCTGGAATCATCGCTACGGGGGGCGGAGGTGAAAGGTCAGATCGACATGCCTCTGAGAGGTTTCCTACCTGCTCTGTTAATTTCTAAAATTTCTTCCTGGGCCAGCGGGCATGTGTCACTCTGAGTACTGTGGTGTGGAGAGTTTACGACAGATTTGCAATAATTGGGAGATCCCAGCTGCGGTGGCCGTGGAATATGCTTCTTTTTTTTCTTTGGTAGTTTCTGCTTAGCCATGGCTAAGGAGTAATACATCCCAAAGTTGTTCACGATGACGGGCACAGGCATGGCGATGGTCAGCACGCCCGCCAGCGCGCACAGTGCTCCCACCAGCATGCCCGACCACGTCTGCGGGTACATATCTCCGTAGCCCAGCGTCGTCATGGTGACCACGGCCCACCAGAAGCCGATGGGGATGTTCTTAAAGTGTGTGTGCTCGCTGGCGCTGGGATCATTGGGCTGTGCCCCTATCCTCTCGGCATAGTAGATCATGGTGGCGAAGATCAGGACGCCCAGGGCCAGGAAGATGATAAGCAGCAAGAACTCATTGGTGCTGGCGCGAAGAGTGTGGCCCAGAACCCGCAGGCCCACAAAGTGGCGGGTCAGCTTGAAGATGCGCAGGATGCGCACGAAGCGGACAACGCGCAGGAAGCCCAGGACGTCCTTGGCGGCCTTAGAGGACAGGCCGCTTAGGCCCACCTCCAAGTAGAAGGGGAGGATGGCCACAAAGTCAATGATGTTGAGCGAGTTCTTGATGAACTCTACCTTGTTGGGGCAGAAGACGACACGCATGAGGAACTCGAAGGTGAACCAGACCACACAGACACCCTCGATGTAGGTGAGGAAGGCCTCCGTCTCTGCTTCCCGGTAGTAGCGCACTTGCGTCCCGTTCCGAACATTCTCGATCTCTGTCTTGTTCACGATGGGGTTGAAGCGCTCGTGGGTCTCCAGGCAGAAGGTGGTGATGGAGACCAGGATGAAGAAGAGGGAGGCAAAGGCCACATACTGTGGAGGAGAAACACAGTGTCAGAGGGAGGCCCTGCCATGCAGAGCAAAGCAACCTGGGGTACCTTGGCGTTGGGTCCAGTCGGAGGCCAGGCCAGGGGAAGGTGCCTGCTCAGCACCCCCTCCAACATGGGCCAATCTGATGGGCCACCTTTGCCTCCTCAGAGCACCGAGTTAGGAGGCTCAGGGAGGTAAGAAGTTGCGGCAGAGATTGCTTTATTTTCACAAATGCCTTTCCTTTCCTCCTGGATGCACAGCTCGACTCCATCTGCCAGGCCTCCCTGGGGTTAGGTGGGGTCACGTGACTGAGTTCATGGCCAGTGGACAGCACATGAAAGGGGTGTGTGCTAATGACAGGCCTGGCGCTTAGAACTTTTCTACCCCATCTTCTAGGCCCTCTGTCCTCCCCCAGCTGCCAGTTACATGCTGACGCCCTGGGGGCCAGCAGGGCCCCCACAAGGATGTAGCCTCAGTCCCTGAAAAGAAAGATACCCACTAAGTACCTGAGTGGGAAATCAACTACGGATGTGGTAAGTCGCTGTGATTTGGGGGTGACTTAGTAAAGCACTTAGCCCACTCTGAGTAATAAAAGCGACCTCGCCTGCTGAGGCTGAAGGTGGCAAAGGAATGAGAAGGGGCAACGATGGTGGAATCTGGCCCCTCAGTGGCCACATGGCCCAGCCCTCCTCTTCCTACCACAGTCCATTCATGCTCTTTTTCAGGAATGTGTACCTCATTGATGAACCTCATTGATGAACCTCATTGAGAACCTCTTTCGGGTTCTCTCAAGTTTAGAACTGCAAAAGATAGATAACTGCCCCAAGGCCTTAGACAGCTTTTATAACCCCCACCCCGTCCTCCTAGGAGCTCCACCACCAGCTTGGAGGTGAGTTCCCCATTCTTGGAGGTACTGAAATAGAGGCTAAATGTTCATTTGTCAGTGATACTGTGTTGCAGGTTCAGCATCGGAAGGAGAATTGGACTGGGGCTCCTCAAAAGCACCAAAACCACAGGATCTGCTTCTCTCCTGCCGGGTAGGGGAGTGGGTGGGAGGGAGGAAGGAGTTGCTGGAGGGCTGGGGCTTTCCAAACATATGTGGCTGCCTCCTCCTCTCAGACCCCATCAGTAAGAAGGAAATGGCCAGGATGACCCAGCCTGTCCAGAACCACCTGAGCCCCTGGAGAAAGGTTCAGGAGCTCCTTTGGTTTGGTTTGGTTGCCCCATCTGATGATCCGGGGCTTCTCTAGCCCCCAGCAGACCTCGGTACCTGAGGAAAGAGAAGTGAGCAGCTGTCTGTCCTGCTAGACTAAATTCCAGGCAAGGCCTCTTCTTACAGCCTGGGTCCCCCAGAGCTCTAGAAGAACCCCAGCCAGTCAGTTCTCCTCCAGGAGTCCAGTTGGTCATCCCTGCTTGCATGTTCCCACAGTTCCCCCCGCCTCTGGGGCCCCTTCTCCCAGGCTGTGCTAGACAGACAATGTCCGGAGGAAGGCCATCTTCTGGAAGCAGCCCCAGACTACAGTCAGGATTGGGTGGCCCCTGTGTTCTCCAGAGCTGCCCCCACGGAGAACTTCAAGGAGGGCCAAGGCCCTGCCCTGTATCCACAAGAGGCAACCGTGCTGCTTCTAGCAATTCTGTAGTCTGCACAGATGCATCCCCCCCGCCTCGTGGTGGTAGTCGGTGCGGGGACAGCATTGGAGTCCAAGAACAGCCCTGTCTGGGTTGACCATAGCCATGGGACCTGGCACCTAACCTGGCATGGATCTAGAAACCAAGAACTATGTGGACCTTTCAAGGAACATTCTGGGTTGGAGGAAGGGGAGAGAAAAGGGGAAGAGACAAAGACAGCATTTTAGAATGTCAGAGTAAGAGAAGCCTTTAGATATTATCTGGTCCGAGACACTACATGCTACAGATGGGAAGCCTGAGGCCCCCAAACAGGAACAAGTCTCCCTGCATTATGCTATGCTCATAGTCACTGTACGCTTTTCAAAAATTTTCTCCTAGACTACTATCAAGTATGATCTCTGTGCATCCTTCCTTCCATCCACTGATCACTCATCGATCCCTCCTTCTTCCCTTTCTCCCTTCCTCCCATCCTCCCTCTCTCCCATCCTCCCTTTCATCCTCATATTCATTACTCCTTCTTCCCTCCTCCCTCCTTCCACTCCTTCCTTTCTTTGTTCCTCTCTCCCTCCCTCCCCCTTCCCATCCATCATGCATGCATTCATTCCTCCCTTCCCTCTTCTCTTGTCCTTCCCTCCTTCCTCCCTCCTTTCCTTCTTCCCTTTCTTCCTTCCACCTGCCTGCCCATCCATCCATCCATCCATCTATCCATCCAACCATCCATCCTTTCTTCCTTCCACTCTTTACAGCCACCAGGTTACGGTCAGCAGAGCGGACTAAAGCCTCAGCCTTGAGGAGCTCCCTGCCCCGCTGAGGGTAAAGGACACATGCAAAGACAAGTCCAATGCAGTGGACTGAAAAGAGAAGTTCCCTCAGCCCTGTGAAGTAGGTGGGGTTTGGACAAGGTGGGGCAGGGTAGGGACTAAGCCAGGTCTTCCAACTCCAGAAACAGCGCTCCAAGGGTCCAGATAGTGCGGACCTGGGTCACCCCAGAAGTGGACCAGGAAAGCAAAGTGGAAGCAACCACGAGAGGCCACCATCTCTGACCCACATTTATCCAGCTCCAGAGCTCCTTCCAATCACCAGAGTGGCCAAAGCTCCTGGAGCTAAAAACATTCCAAAATGCTGGGTATTTGCCTCCAGGTTTCCTCTGGAGGGCCCCGTCTTAGGGCTTGGCATTCACCAAATCCCAAAGGGTAGGTCCTGCCCCTGCTCTGGACTTTGTGAGAAAGGAGAAGAACATGCACAGCATGAGTGTCAGAGGAATGCGGAGAGAGGAATGCATCCCCGGGCTCCCCATCCTGGCCAATGGCAGGAGGCATGAGGCACCTCCCCTCCTCATTGCCCCATCAGCCATGGCATCCGCCTCCTAAGCCCTCCCCCATCTATCCTTCTCTGTCCCCTCTGCTCACACGTGACCCTCTCTCAATAGGACCACTGCCATCAAAGCTAGCAGGCTTCAGGCTTAGAGTCTCAGCTGCCAGTCCAGTCTTCATACAGCTACCAGAGGGAGCGATCCATTGGCGTCCCAGCTCTCTGCCCAGGCCCCCTGACCACACTGCCCACAGAGACACAGGAGACACTCTGTGCTTGGCCTCCCTGACTTCCGAGAGCTCTCTCCCTACCCGCACCCAACATTCTTGCCACATGCAACTCTCGACCATTTCTGACCCCCGCCCCCGTCTCCCCCATCTCCGGGTCTTTGTACCTCTGGAAAAACCCATTCATCCCTCAGGACCCCACTAAGTATCCCAACTCCTGGGACCCTTTCTCCAGGTGAGGCTCCTCTTGGAGCTGAGGCCCTAACGAGGCAGCAAATGAAGGGACCCCCCAAGAAGTCTCTAAATTCACCCCCAAGGAGGCAGCAAGCCTGTCTCCAACGCCGGATCATTAGCTCTTGGGGAGGCTCATGGGAACAGCCCCGACAGGGCAGAGCTCTCACCCCACCCGCCCCTCTCACAGGCCAGTCCTGAAAGGAAAACTGAGGCCCTGAAAGAAGGCAGCTCTTATACAATTAGGGTAGGAAAAAGTATTGGTTCTCAGCAATCAATGGAACATCCTGTCTGGGCCCCAGTGCCCAGGGTGTTGGCGGCGGGGGGTGGGGGTGGGGGTGTGGCAGCCGCAGCCCAGCCCAGAGCCAGGCACTAGGACTCCTTTCCCGGGAGGAGGCAAGGGAAAGCAGAAGCCAGGTGGGCTGCCCTGCCTCAGCTCCCCGGGCACCTGCTGGCCTTGCCTCTGCTGCCGGTAGGCCTGGTCCTCCGTCACAGGCCAGGCCCCGGCAACATCCGGGCCCTGAGGAGGGCTCCTAGGAGGGCTGTGGAGGCAGAAGCCCCTGGCTTGCTCAGACTGCCACATTCTCCTATGCCCAGAGACCGGCAGGCCTGCCAAAGCAAGAGCTCACCTCCAGCTGAGTCCCAGCTCCCTTTGGTCCATCCGCAGGGAAGCTGAGCACAGGAAGGAGAGAGCAGAAAGCTACCAAAGCTAGGGACCCACTCTGCACCTTTAGGCCTCTCACTGACCTAGTGAGACAGTGGTCCTACCCTATTGTGCCAAAAAGGAAACCCAGGTACAGAGATGTCAGGGACTAAACCAAGCCACGTCTCCCAGGACTGGAGGGGCTGTAGGGCCCACGTGAGCTCTCTGCCTCCCAATCCTCCGTCACCCAGAGACCACGGACACACATAACTACCCAGAGCACACACCCCCTACCTAAGCGCATATGCTGCACGAGCAGCCCCACACACTACAGCCCAGGGTCCTGACCACACATCCAGAGATGACACAGGGGCCCATGGATTGTACGGAAACACACACACGCGGGTCCACACCCCTGCAGTCCTCGTGCACGCACACTCGGAGCTCGCGGATGACACGGCAGCCATCACCGCATAGCACACTCACTACGGATACAACCGAACCCAGGCACGGCCACCGGCTAGCCCCTCTTCTGCCCACCTCACCCCTGCAGGTGTGGCTGACTCAGCGTCTGCCTCTCCCACAGGAGAGCAGCTCCAGCCCGCCCCCCTCTGCCTCCCTGGCCTTCCCCAACGCCCTCAGCCTGCCTCCCCACGGCGACGGTGTCAGCGCCTGGATTTCCAGCCCCTGGGTATGCCCCTCAGCCCCCAGCGTCCTGACTTCCTGCCCCCCACCCCCCAGCCAGGCCTTGTCTCCTTTCCCTAGCCCACCCCAGCAGCAGCTTTGCCCCCCACACCCAGGATCCAGGCCGCTGTAAGGCCAGTGTCTCCTGGGCTGCTGGCTTGCCAGGGGAGGAAGAGGGGCACAAAGGGAGTTTTGCCTGGCAGCCCAGGGACAGGGACAGTTGTCCCCTAGCCTGGTCACCTCAGAGGCCACCCAGTGAAATTTCAAGACAACACAGGCAAGATCGCCTGATAATGCAGCATAAACCCAAGCTGGTAGTCCTGGCTTTTTTTTTTTCCCCAGAACCAAATCACAAACTGTGAAAGACCCACCAATTGTGTTCTAGAAAGTGGTAGCCATGGCAACAGAACGAGGCATCCCATTTCTATGGTAACCAGGGTGGTGAGGCTGTTGGCTGTAAAGTCAGACAAACCTACCAGAGATCTGTTGACTTAAGAAGATGTTTTATAAATCACCAAGTTATTTTTATGGTAACCCCACCCCTGAAACCATAAATCAGAAAAGCAATTTACTATCTGTTAAAATGACCAGTATGTGCTATGACTTCCATTTATAAATTATGTATGCCACAGTCATCTGTAGAAAATTGTGCTTGCCTTTCAGAATTGTTCAGGGGTTTGCAGTGGGGGATCCGCATTCTTGCAGTCTGGCGTTCCAGGAACAAGGCGACGGTTGTAATGTGGGGCACAGACCACCATTCAGGTCTGGTGCTCACGTGCTGTGTGACCTTGGCAAGTCACTTCCCTTCTCTGGGCCGCAGATTCATCACTGGTACACTGAGGGCCGGCCGTGGTCCCTTCGGAGGATTCCGAGAGCAGGCAAGGCTGCAGGCGGTGCGGCCAATCATGGGAGCCCTGGCTGCTGTCCAGGCCCCGAGCCCCCTGAGGCTTCAGGTCAGTTTTGTCGCCTAATTAAATCTGCCCAGCGGGGGTATACAGCGTTTGAGTTAATCCATGCGGAGTCAGTGAGGCAGAGCAGGCAGGATGGCCAACTGGCCTAAATAAATTGTCGGTCAAGTTGAGTTTGGAAACTGAATTACACTCGTCTGGACTTCCTTGGGCGGGGCAGGCCCGCAGCATGCTGGGCTGGCTGAGGGCTGCAAGGGGGCGACTGGGGAGGGCGCTCTTTGGAGTCTAGTCCCTTTTTGGTCCGTCAATAAATGTGAGGCCCTGGGCAGTCCGTCCTGGCATCTGTGTCCCTGTCCCTGTTCCTTTTCACTAGTCCTTTCCCCTTGGCACCCAGCTCAGGGAGCAGGGGGTGGGGGAGCTCCCCATGATGCTACACGGAGGGTGTGAGTGGAAGTGTGTGAGAGTTTGTGCAGAGAACATAACATGGCTGAGTGGGTACCTGTTTGGGCAAGTCGGTGTTTGGGGGAGAATACTGGGGGAGGGGGAGAGATGTGTAAATGCGGAGTGGGTGTATACTTGGTGAAGATGGGTCACCTGATTATGTGGCCTGACTCCAGGCACGTGTGAAAGGCTTGTGTAAATGGTCATCGTGTGTAGTGTGTGTGGTTCCTACAGGCGGTAAAAGTATGTGTGTGCGTGCACAAGCGTGTGTGTATTAGGACACACATGAGGTGTGGTGTGTGTGCTTGTATGTGGATAAGGACATGTATGGGCTGTGATGTGTACGGGTGTGTGTAAGGACAGGTATGGGATAGTACGGGGCTGGGACATGCATGAGCCGTCTCCTAGGGGAATCGGGGTCTGGCTAGGCACTCCGGACACGTGTTCTCTGAGGTGAGACCCAGCCCAGGGCCATGAGCCTTTTCCATGCCAGAGATGGTCATTCACACACTAGCCTGGGGTGTGCTCCTTTCTCTGGAACTGTCTCTGACTAAGAGAAAAGGCAGGGGTAGGGAAAAGGCCACGGGCAGGCAGGGCTGTGTTCAGGTCAGAATCCCCTCATCCCACCACATCAACCCTCTCAGTCCGGGGACCCAGCCTGGGCAGTGGGGGAACCAAGGCCAAGAAAGGCAGTGCCCAAGCCTCCAGCCTTCCAGAGAGATGCTTCCTGGAATCCCCTCATGACCCTAGACCTAGGCCGTATCCAGAACGGGCCACCCTGACAGCTAGGCTGGCGACTTTTGAGGTGGCAGAGGTCCCCGTGCTGCTTTCCTTCCAGGATGCACACTTTTTTTTCACATTTTGGAAATGAAAATATGTCATAAAATGTGCACATCCTTAAAATACTCTATCTTACCACATCCCCAGTTGTGCTATTTGTCAACTCATGTCATGTCTTAGAACGATGGGACCTTAGACTTGCGAAAACATGGTCATTAGAAACCCAGAACACCAGGGAAGAGGAGGCCCTCAAAGGTTTCTGGCCTAAAAGCTGCCCCCTGTGGCAGGAATGGAGAAATGGAGGCACAGCACGGGAAAAGATCTGCCCAAGGTCTCGGAGCTCTCAAGGTAGAGCGGAGATGAGAGTGTCAGTACTGGGCTGCAGCCTGGAGCTTTTGTCTTCACAGCCTCTGAGCCTTTGCTTGAGATGCCCTCCCAGGCCTCTCTGCTCCCCAGGCCCCGCCTGCCATCCAGACCCCAGGTCAAAAGGAGGAAGTGGCCAGAACAGAAATGACAGGATCTTGAAGTCAGGATCAACCCCAGTTTGAGGCCTGGCTTGGCTGGTGACCTTGGACAAGACACTGCCCCTTTCTGAGCCTTCGCTCTTGGATAGGAGGGGGTGGGAGGACATTCCCTGCCCGCCCCCGGGAGTGGTGATAAACGAAATAATACAGAAAACAAGAAGGAGGTGTTCAAACACACCACTTTGGTCCCCACACAAATCCTCCTCCTCTGGCCCTCATGGGTTCCATCACAACAAAGTGCTGAGGATCAGAGCATCTCAGACGTAGAAAAGTGAAGAATCTTACAGTCATGACGCAGGAACCACTGAGTTGGGAGGCACCTGAGGGACTGAGGTGGACATGTCCCCACATATGAACACAGTACGACTGCCCTTCCAAGAGCTACCCATGCGGCATGAATGAGGCTGGGTCCACGCGCCCATGCAGGCCTGGCTGAGCAGCACTGGGACCAGTCTGCCCAACCGGGGCCAGCCCTGGTCCTGGAGGACGCAGGGAGGAGTGTCCCCTGAAAGCCCCTAGGAGCAGTCTCTGGATGAAGCACCGAGGAGAACTTACTTGGTGGTGGCCAAAGCCAGACCCCTTGGAAGGGCGGTGGGGAAGCAGGAAGTAAGAAGCCCTCCCTGGAGGCATTTGGTGGGGCACGAAGGGGGCAGGAGTGGACTGAAGCCCGCGTGATGGAGAGGATGGAGATGGAGCACGCTGGGGGAGAGTAACTCAGTGGGAGACACAAATGCAGAGTCCTTGGCCCCATGCTCAGAGACGGGTTCCGCAGGTGTGGGTGGGACCAGAAACTGACCTTCAACTTGGGCCCTCCGTGGCTCTGATGCCTCCAGCCCCATCCTTGCACTGGGGATCCGTGGGGCCAGATGAGACCCAAGTGCCAGGCAGCTCAATGCATAATGAAGCTCATGAGCCTGGGACACCCTGGAGGCTGGGAAGCCGGCAGCATGGCAGAAGGTGAAGAAGAGTCTGTGCTTGGCTTCAGAGACTTTGAGTTTGAGTCCCAGCTCTGCCGTTGGCTGTCTGACTGCAGCTGGCAAGTGACTTCTGGGAGTCTCAGCCCCATCATTTCTCAAGTGGGGACTATAACAGTAAGAATAACAACAGCCCGGGAAGTCAGATGCTACTGGAGGTCCTGGAGGAAAAGGCCAGGTGTCTAGGGTTTCCCCAAATCCAAGGCAGAATCCTGGGGTAGGGAGACACCTCAAGACTGCCAGTTCCCTTGCACACTGAGATTCCAGGAGTCGGGCCAAGGCTTCCTTCCACAAAAATCTAAACACAGCATTTTCCCCCCTGAATTATTGGGCGGGGTCGTTGCAAGGAGTAGCAGCAAAAGCTAACGAGAGAAACGTGTTCAATTTCGGGTCTTTCCCCCTAATGTGTTCTGCTCCTGCCAGCACTTGCCTGCTAACAGACCGGGAGCAAATGAGAGCCTCGTGAGAGCCAACGGCACGGCCTTCAGAGCCTGTTTCCCGGGGCCACAGACCAAGGCAAAGCCACGTCCAAGACCCAGCTCTCGGGTCTCCCGCCGGTGAGGGACTCTCCTCAGGATAGTGGTGACTTCACATGCCCACCTCCTCAGGGCTATCCACGTGAGCCCCTGCCGTGGGGCTGGGAGCAAATGAGGCTTGGTGGGAAAGGACACCCAAGGTCCTACAGTGAGCGGGGTGGCAGCCAGAGGTCCTGGCGTTCCAGCCTAACTCCAGTAATGAGACGCCAGGTTCCCGGTCTTGAGGGGGCCCTGCCTCCTGCGATTTCCATGCATCGGGTCATTTAAACCTCACGCCGGTCCAGGAGGAAGTTCGACTGGTATCACTTTTCAGACAAGGAGGCTAAGGTTTGCAGAGGTGGAGAATCTTGCCCAAGCATGCGGAGGTCCTCAGCAGTGCCATCAGTCCCGCCTTGCTTCGAAGTCCCACACTTCAGGCCTCCCGGGGGCCCCCTAAACAGCCGGGCAGGATATGCACAGTGCAAGTCAGCCTTGCTGTGCCCGAGAGCCAGACCTGACCGCTCCAGCCTGGTGTGAACCTTAGTCAGCCCCAGGGAAGTACACAGGCCTGCATGCCTTAGGGCAGTGGGGCCGTGCTGTCCCCGAGTGCCCCTCGAGTCCCCCCACACCAAGAAGGCTGGCTGTCAGGGCCCCACAGGGAGCCGACATCCCACCCACTCCTGTGACCTGAGAGTCCCTCCAGGAGACCGGAGGACACATATCCTCACCCATTAGCACGTTAAAGTCGGAGAAATACCAGTATTCCACGCCGGAAATTGTTCTATTTCAGGGTTTAGAACTGTGTTTCACTACGCGTCTCTGCTGCACTTGCTGACTTTTCTGTTCGTGAACGATGAGGTATGAAACCCTTCAGAGTTCCTCTTTTGCCCTGGCTGCCAGGGAGCTCAGTGACATTTGGTGCTCAAGTCTGAGCTCATCTTTCATCTGGGTGCGGGGTATTGCTATTTCTTCTCTTTATCATACCACTCCCGGGTTTTCCTTTTTTCTTTATTTCTAAGGATTCTGTTGTAGGTGTGTCTCATGGGCCTCAAACCTTTTGGTGCCACAGATCAGAATAAGAACTATGTGACTGAGGCTCCCAGATAAGGAAGTGAGTAGGAAGGCACCCCATCTAGGAGATCTAGGCCTCCCATGCGGGCAATTCAGTAACCCCTCTGCAGTAATCCTGAGGCAGATGTGTCTGTCGGTGACCACCAGTGATGGGGACCTCCCAAGGCCACTCATCCTGTCTTTGGACAGCTCTAGAGATATGCATTTATTTTCTGTTTAAGTCAGTCTCCCTGCCTTTCTCCCAGCGATCCCAGTTCTGCCCTCTGGGGTCACCAGAATATACCTGCTCTTCTTCCCTGTGACAGCCCTGCCCACACTTGCAGATGGTCCTCAAGACCCACCTCTGAGCCATCCCTCCTGCAAACCAGGCTTTCCTTGGCCTCCACCACATTCCCTCTCCTGGGCCAGCTCCCCTGTTTCAGAGCCTAATTTGGTTAAGCACTCACTGTGTGTGGCTAAATGGATCACACACTTTACCCTTTTTGATTCCCACAACCACCTTGGTGGCAGGAGTATTTAGCTTTGTTGAGCCCCATTGTGCTCTGCTATGAAGTAATAATGATCACCATTACAAACATGATCTCATTTATCCTTAAAAACTTCTCTGAGGCAGACGTCATTACCGCCATTTTGCAGATTAAAAAATTGAAGCTCTGAGTGGTGAAGACGTATGCCAAAAAACCAAAACCCACAGAGCTTGAAAGGGATAGGCAGAAACCAGGTCTTTCTGACTCTAAAACCACCATGACCCAGGGCTTCCATTTATAAATCTCTTTCACTTCCATCCAGGTAGCCTGGGGGGAGGACATTAGTCTTCCCATTATGATGACATTGGGGACAGCTGTCTACACTTTACAACACAACTTCACGTTTTGAATCACATATGAATACCACACACACACACACACACACACACACCCCCTAACAGCTGGGCCATCAGCAGGACAGTCTTGTTTGCCCCCATTAGACAGATGAGAAAACTGAGGTCCCCAGCTCCATCACATACCCACTAGGAATCTAATGGGAAATTGCTCCCAGGGCCCACTTGTGTTTTTGCATCAAGTTAGTGGTCTTGATTCCCACCAGGGTATGCATGTGTGTATACATATGTATGTGCTGGGGGGAGGGGAATAAAAAGATGGCCCCGAGAGGGACAGCTCAGGGGGGGCAGTAGATGCAGTGCAGGTGGGACCACAGTTGACTGCCAACCTGCTCTCTCTCCAGTGAATATTTATGCCTTATCCCAGGGCTGGGCCGGGCACTGAGCACAGAGTGAGCAAAACAGTCCTAACCTCTGGCAGGGGAGGCTGACATTTATCAAATAACCATACAAGAAAATGTGTACCTATATGAGGTGATAAGGCTTTGAGGGGAAAGCGCAAGGCATTTGATGGGCCTTTAACAACAAGTCTTGGGGTTACAGTGATTTCCAGGAGGAAGTGATAATTGTGCAGAGGTTGGAAGGATGGGTAAGAATCAATGAGGGAAATACAGGTCATAGGGAAGAGCAATTTAGGCAGAAAGAACAGGAACAGTTCCCAGCCCTCACATCCCTTGACCATCAGCAGCATCTGAGATGGCTGATCACCCCCTCCTTCTTGTCACACTCCCAGGCTCCCATTGTCTCTTGATTTTCTTCCTACCTCCCCGACTGCTCCTTCTTGATGTCCTTTGCCCACCTCTTCTCCATGCCTCGAATGATCAGGCTGCCCCAGAACCTTGGTCTTCTTCCCCATCTACATGCATTCCCTTAGCGATTCACCTAGTTTCCGGGCTTAAATACCATCACCCATTCAACTATCACTGAACCCTCCCAAATGTCTACCTGCTGCTCAGCCCTTCTCCGGAACTCAGGACTTTGGCGTCCAACTCCTTAGCATCTCCAGGTGGAGGTCCGATAGCACTCTCCCCAACTCGACGCGCCACCTGAGCTCCCGCACAGCCCCCACGGCCCATAGCCTCTCCAGCGCATGAGGCAGCACCTCCCTCCTTCTGGATGTTCTTGCCCCAGACCTTGACAACTCTCTTTCTGCCACAACTCACATTGACTCCGTAAGGAAAGCCCACTGACGAAGCTTGAAACAAATCCAGAGTTTGACCCACCTGCCCAGCACCACCGTGACTACCTCTGTCCCTGGCAGGATCATTCATTTCCGCCTCGATTATGGTAAGAGCCCCTCCGCTGGTCTCCCGGCTGCCACTATTCCTGGTGCTCGAGAACTATTTTCAAACAGAGCAGCGAGATGAGCCTTTTCCCATATAAATCTGATGGTGTCATTTCTCTGCTCAAAACCCCTGCACAGGCTCCCCGTTTCTCTCAGAGGAGGAGCCAAGGTCCTCCCGTTCCGTGCAGCCCCTGCGTGATCTGGTCCCACACTGCCCCTCCACGCTCCTCTCCTGCCGCTGTCCCCTTCACTTGTTTCAGCCACACCCGCCTCCTCAAACATGTTCTTTAAACATGCCAGACATACGCCTGCCTCAGGGCCCCCGCACTGGCTGCTCCCCCCCGTCCAGACGTCCGGACGCCCTTCCCCAGGTATCCTCAGAGCTCATTCCCTCTGCACCTCCTGAGGCTTACTCTCAACCGGCCCCCCGCCCCCCGGCTGATCTGAGCTTCCTTCCTCTCCTCCCCCCCACAGTGAGGACCCGTCTTGGAGCACTGACTTCCCCAGCTTTTACTGGTGTGTAACTTATAGCCGGTCACGTTCAGCCTGTCTGCACAGCCAGCTGGGTGAGCGTTGGAACTTCACACCATCTGATTTACTTACTTCTGATATTTATTGTTGGCCTCTCTTCCACCTTAGAATGTAAGTTCCGTGAAGTGGCTGGGTCTGGGGATCGGGCTTGGGCCTGCTATCAGGCCCAGCCCCACGCCACACACTAGTAGGGAAAGAGGGGCCCCTTTTTCAGGGACCAGGAACACAGCTAAGCACCAGCACGCCCTCCCTTCTGTGGGAAGGTCCTGGATATATGTCTTATGTCTGCTTGTCTCAGTCCCTCTGTCTATGCAATGGGCACAGCAAAGTTTACCCCTTCCAGCCTCCTTAGGAAGTGAACCCCTCCTGTGGTGCCCACGCCCCCTCCTCTGCATGGGCAGTGTGCACCGTCCCTGATTCACTGATGCAGCGTCTGCGTCTACACTGGTGAGGTACACAGACACTGATTTCAGACTCCTGTTTACACTGGCACTGTCCACACTTACAGCGGACCTATGTGGACACTGGGAAAAAGATAATCTTTCGTCTATGCATCTGTGACTCATCTGGTCACTAATCATCCAGCTCTGTCCTCATCAGCTTCATCTCCCCAGACACTGTGTGATACATTGGCAATGGGCACAGCGACTGAGCGCAGATCCGTGTCTACACTGGCAATGGGCACAGCGACTGAGCGCAGATCCGTGTCTACACTGGCAATGGGCACAGCGACTGAGCGCAGATCCGTGTCTACACTGGCAATGGGGACACTCACTGACGGCAGACTCACGCCCACCCTGGCAGCAGGCACAACCACGTCCATCTCTTGACAATGGGCAAAGTCAGTAAAGACATGGGGATGTGGAATTCAAAACCTGCCTGCCGACCCTGGAGTGTGGCAACTGGCCTCCGGGCACATGGCAAGGAGATGAGACCTTGTCTATTCCCAGCGCCTTGAGATCACGCAAGGTGAGGAAAGACTCAGGCTGTGTGACTCCCGGTGCCACCCGCCCCCTCCCCACCCCACGCCCGGGGCCAGGCCCAGCCAGCCTGGGCTTTAAAAAAGCACCAGGAAATGTCACTTTCTTTTTGAGGAGGTTCAATGGGAGGAGATGGCCCAGGCAGTTTAGCTGCCGGCCTATTCAAAGGCTGGGAACGGTGACTGTACCTTTAAATCCTGAAGCTGGTTTCCTACCTCCTACCCAGGCTGGACGGAGTTCCAGCCCCTTCCCCGCAAGCAGAGCCCTGCCTAGTGTCGGCCCAGGGGCCCCAGCCTGCCCGACTGCCCAGTCAGGGCCCTGCCTGCTACTGCATGTCCACGCTGCCTGTCCAAGCGGGACCAGGCACCGCCTACTGTGCGGCCCTTCCCCCATCTGCAAAACGGGGTGGGGGTGCGCCCAGACCCCCTGGAGCTCCTCCTCTACCCCTAGGATCCCTCTGCTACCCCCAAGAATATCTAGATCCTACTGGAGACACAGCGTGGCCGAGAGACCAGTGAGGGTGGATACCTCCTCAGAGGAGAAAGCTTCAAGGACATCCGACACAGCTTTCGGTGGTTTGTTCATTCATTCAATCATCAAATATTTACTGAGTGCCTATTAGACACCAGGCACCGCTTTTCACAACCACCTCCAGAAACAACAGCTTTAAATAAAACTCCCAGCACAGAGCTAGGCACCGAGTAGTTACTCGGTAGCGAGGACACAGACATCTAGTGTGTACGGACACTTACCCTGAGCCAGGCACATCCTAAGCACTCATACATGCCCCATCTCACTGACCCCGACCCCAACTCTGAGGTCTGCACTGTGGTTACCATCCCAATTTTGTAGGGAGGGAAACTGAGGCACGGAGAGGCTAGGTTGCCCATGATTAGGAACCTGGGAGGTGATGGAGTTAGGACTGGAAACCCAGCTTTGTCTGACTGCAGAACACAGGCTCTCCACCACTCACCCAGCCCCTCAACAACCATTTATGGAATGAACGCCTGAGTGAGTGAAACTTTGTGTTGGTGCAGGTACAGGTCCATGACCGTCCAGGGCCACCGGTATGCGTGAGCGTGGGGAGCATGTACATGCAGATGTTTGTGTGTTTGCACGTGGAGCTTTTTTTATGGAAAGCCTTTCCCTTGTTGTCTTGGTCTTGTGTGTGCTGGAGCTATACTTAGCTGCAGCCGTGACTGTAATGAGTGGTTAGCGGCGTACCAGGCACTCTCATTGGGACCTGGTTTCCCAGGGAGATCGCTGGGGCCAGTGTATGTGTGGGGGGGTGCAGCCTGGTGCTGGGGAAGGCTCTGGGCTTTGGGAGGGAGCCTGGAGCTCACAGCTCGTTGCCTCGTGCAAATGGAGGTCCTTAGCTCCAGCTGGAAGAATCTGCTCTAGGCTAGCATCCTCTAAGCCTCCAGGCCCTGCCAAGCTCGACTACTGGCCACCCATGTCTGTGGTCCCTCTACTGGCCCTTGCCAGGTAATTAAAATGAAAGCCTTGGAGCTCATGTCTGGAGCCTGGCGACTGATGACCAGAAGCACTGGGAAGATGGTGTATCTCGGTATTCCTGAGCCAGGTGACCCCGGAGGGCCCGCTCCTCAGCCAGGAGAGCTGCATTGTCCCCTCGTGCACAGCCTGCCGGCGCGATCGGAGGGGATTGCTCACGGGGCCTGCGGACCTAGCGAGGAAGAGTGGCCTCTCGACCCCAGGACAGACTGAAATCACAGGTATGCTCCGTGCAGCCTGGGGTTCAGAGGCCAACCCCCCACTCGCTATCTGCCCTCCAGTGGCTGCAGGGCGTCTGGAAAACCCTGGGCCCCGAGGTTTCCCCGTCACAGGGCTCTGACTGCAACTTCTTTCCAGCCTGTCTTGGGGCTGCTCCATCAGAGCCTCTCACTCTGAGAGTGGGCCAGTCTCCCAGCCTAGTCCCAGCCCCCAGCTCCAAGCTCCCTCGCTCCACGAACCACCCACCTGTGCATCTGCAAACCTACTTTCTCTGTTCATGGGCTAGGTTCCTCTACCCTGCTTTCCTTCCTGAAGTCTTCAGCTTCCCAGTCCTCTCCTCTAGGATGTTTTCGTTTAATGAGAGGTGAGACTTCCTTTCCTGCCTTGAAGCCAAGTGACTAGAAATGTATCCATCCAGCCAGCCAGCCTTACAACCATTCATTTGTTTACCCATCCACCAAGGTACCCACCCAGCGGGGTGTCCATTCATACATTCTTCCTTCCACCCATTCATCCATATCCATCCATGGACCCATCCTTTTATCCATTCTTTCGTCCATTTGTCTATCACCCATCTGTCCATCCAACCGCCTCATTCTTGACCACAGAACCTTAGGATAATAGAGTGGGAAGGAACAAGGTACTGCTGTAATTGGCCTTCTCGATTGCCCAGAGAAGACCTGGGGATCTAGTCCTTCTTCCACCACTTACTAACTGGATGGTCCATGTAAATAAATTAATCTGTCTGAGCCAGTTGTTCTTCATCAATGAGATGGGGATGCTATCTCATCCTTCTACCTCACAGGGCTGTGGTGCAGTGTGTCATGTTAGCAAGGATTTACTGATTCCATATTATGTAACAGGAGCTATCATTCCTTGAGCTGGCCCTCAAGGACCTCAAAGAGGCTGCAGCTGAGGTGGGGAGACATGAAACCTCAACAGGACAGCTGGATCAAGGGCAGGAAAAGTTCTCTGGGAGAGCAGTCTGTTCGAGAAGCAACAGAAGAGGCAAAGGCAGGAGGCAGGGGAGCTACACAGCTAGGAAATTGGCTGATGTACCTGGAGGCCAAGGGTGGGCAGTCTGGAAAGACAGGTTGGGTGGGATTTTCCAGGGGTAGCACAACGGAGTTCGGGAAAGACCTCGGACATGGAAAGACTTGGCCAGCCGGTACAAACCACAGCGATTCCTTACTCTGAGGCTTTTACTCAGGTCCCCAGACAGAAAAAAATATCTGCTTGGTGACAGCCAGGCCTCGAGAGACACGGTTCCTGCCGCCTAGAAG